TAAAGTGATTAAAACGTTCCTGGCAAGGTCGCCACATGTTAAAGATTGGAGGCGGGGTGAATGGAAAACGATCGATTGCGAAGTGAAAAAAATATATTTGTTTTTACATATTTATGAATTGTCATATATTAAAAAAAGAACAAGTCAAACATAAAAATATAAAAAGCGTTCGATGTCTTATAAGTTGTAAACGAGGTTGTAAGTTACAACCTCATTTCTTAACACCTACCTTTCGTCTGCAACATCGTCATCGATTTATGACTGCGCATTATTTTCACTTAAAATACAGAACAGACTATATCCATACATGCTACAAAACAAAAATTAGTATGCACAAGAAATGGAACGTCAATTTCTTTGTTCCAGTTTCCGTTATAGTTTCCCGAGGGGCATTTATGTTTTATTGTGACGTTGCATCTTGGTCTATGTACTTCTGCTTTGTTTGTTATTCTTGAAATAAAGTCAAGATTTTAAGTTATATTTAAGAAGTTTTGAAATAGAAACTTAAAACATTTATACCTAATGTTATTTAAATTTGTTAAGTAAGATATTGATAGATTCACAGATACACAATATTCCAGTAACCTAAAGTTGACGCCCTGTTGATTTAATTTGAATGAAAAGGGCTTCAAAGGGTTACCCTCTTAAAGTATTAGCGATCATTTAAAGAACGTAAGCTAAGATTGTGTGGAACACGGTTATCAGAGCACATCGATCGATTACTATAAATAGTTCGTTTCATTCGACTGACTTATCGACCTAGGGAAAGCATTGTAATTAATCTTGGTGCTAATGTATGTTACTGAGGATTCATTCTTTGGCGTTATACGTTTCTGTTTGTACACGGAGTGGGTGTCGCGGGCAACAAGTGCAACAAGGCGCGTTCGCTCGATTCATTTGATCTGACACAAATTTATCCGCGCCTGGGAGCCCTTTATTTACGCCGCCGACAGCGACGTTCACTTTGTCCTGACAAATTCATAAATTACCGACATCCTCACGCGAGCTCGCATTTAGTCACCGATTTCTTGTCCGCCCGTATCGACGGATGTTTTTTTCTAATTGTATTTAGTCTTCAATGATTGACTTTTTTACATATTGTTTTAATCCTATATTTACATTTGTAACACAACACACTGTTACTCTTACATAATAATTTTTGAATCTGTTCGTATTTAAATCGTTACTGAATACATTTTGAAGATATTGTAGATGACGATTAGGAACGTAAGACTCCCGAGAAAGTATTTTTTTTTCATTTTTCAGTTTAAATAGAATAACCCAAGTTAAAGGACGCGCATTTCTAAGGGTCAAAGACGTTATGACTGTGAGGAGCAACATTTGTAAAGGAATGCTGCATGCAAATATAACGCACCTCCTATGTCCTGCGCTCTTTGATCCTGAGGCTAAGAAAGAATTTTAAACGTGACCACGGCTGTAGGCCGCCGCTGGCGCGAGAGCGTCTAATGTATTGAGTCGCACTGTCGTCATTCTTTTGAAGCCCAAACGGACTTACATACATTGCTTTCCTCTACTTTTTATTGCTAGCATAGGTAAATACCTATTTGTCTATAATTAAAATGTCAAACACTGTTATACAGGATAAACTTAATTTAATAGATAAAACATACAAAAAGATACGCTAATTTGCGGAAAAGTTTACCTCAACGTAACCGCAACAGTATAAACAATATAGCCACAATACGGTACAATTACAGTCCCTTCCGTAGATTTATTTTATTAAATGTTCTTGCAAAGCAAAATGCTAATGTAAGGCGGCGTTTAAAAAGATAGGGCACGTCGTCAGTAGAGCTTTCACCCCTGAGGGTAATGCGCGGTTACCTGCTGAGTGCCGACACCACTTGCTAGGCTTCCACCACAATAATGTCGACCGCGACCGCGCGCATGTTGACGCAATATAATATTCATATTCGTTTATTAAAGCTCGCCGAATTTTTATGGCTCCGCACTATTGATGTTAAGTCAAAGGAAATGTATATAAGTATGCAAAATCAGAATATGATTTTGCACATTTATATACATTCCCGAGTTGTTTTAACACTAAAGAAGCTTCGCAAAATTTGTAAATGTTTATAAGCAACCAATATTTATAACAATCGTTTATAAAAAAAGAAGAGCGGAACTACAAAATCTGAAACACAGACGTTTCTAATCCTCCTTCGAATATAAATAAGAATACGCGATGCATACAGCTGTTAGAATCTTGCAATATATTAGGGCGGCGTAAATCAAAGTGGCTTAACATACTTCTAATAAAACTTTTGCTCTATCTTTTCGTAATTCGATAAAGAATATCCTATCATTGTAAGATGAGACAAAACTGTTGAGTAGATCTTTCAAAAACCAACAAATTATAATAAAATATTAACAAGCATTCAAAATTAAAAAGTCAATTCATCTTCTAACCCCCATGTTACTGTGCAGCTTTTCTTAACACTAACTAAGGCAATTAGATATATTATCCGAAGAAAACTCAATTTGTTACAATCAGAAGCAGGGGTGGGAGCGGCGGTCGACTGCGACTGCGACTCTCTCTGCGCCATTGAGCAGCGAACAATGATACAGTAATAATGAACCATTCGACACAGCCACTTACACGAGCTTACTTAATGACCAATATTAATCACGATCTACGCCACTGTTTACTTTAATGAGAAACGCTTTGTGAAGGCAGGGTGCCTTATGTAATTAAGCCAATTATTAATACGAAATAAGTCATATTTGTGCTTTAAAAAAAACTTTTGAATTTAGCACCTAAGGTAGTTCTTATTAAGGTGAATTCCTTAATAGCACCATAACTTTTTGATATCCAATTGCGTTACGTTCTCTTATCAAAGTGTAATGTAATTAAGGCACGGTGCACAATTAATTTTACAGGTAAACTTATCGCAGTATGTGACCGTACTAATAAATTTTATTGCCACCTAAGCATAATTATCCATGAATATTCGAATCACGCACCGGGAAAAGCCATTTCGTTTTGAATATAGGTAAAGGCATGCCGAGTGGGAAGTCGGAATAATTGAAACAAATGTAAGGATTACTCAACAAATTGTTCAATACAAGGGCGATTTATCTAAGTCGCCGAGACGGTTGTTCATTTTATTGTTACAAATTAGATTTTACAATGAAATTTCATGTCCCAAGTCATAATTAGATGAAAGGAATACTGACATTGAATCATGTTAAACGCATTATCATCTTAACATAACATCATGATCGTTCCAAGTTCAAGTTTATGATGTGAATTAATGGTTTCTAAGTACGACGTTGCTAATTTTCCTTAAGACAATTCGTAAAAGTATTCTTTTAGAAGTCCCCGTGAGGCGAGCGGTGGCAGTGTAGCGGGGTCGGGGCAGGGGGTAGGCTGCACGCATGCTACGCCACCACCACCACTATCATACGCCGCTCAATCATCATTAAAGTTGAATCAGCGATCCATTGCAGCGACAGCTGTCTCTCAGACCATTGTTTTTGCAAATGCCTTTTTGTTGTCTTTATAATATTTAAATTTTGGATACCATCCATTTGTTCTGGTTCTGCAATTTACTAATAGACAAAAATATAAAAATAAACAAACTAAAAGAACATGGAATCAAGTGTTAAGTTTGTTTTAGCTAAAAGCTCTTCAGACTGTCATTTTTTTAGATTCAACTTCACTTTTCTGATACTTCCATAAATGCTTTTTTTTATTGCGAAAAAAAACATTTTCCCTTACAAGTGCAGTGAAAAGTTTTGATATTTCAATGAAATCTGCACGGCTCTACATTCATGTTCACTAAGCCGGAAAACTTCGTTTATAATGGCGCTAGCTAGTGTACTTTGGTTTTCCATAGTGTGCTGAGATTTCTCAATGTAGAGACGTTGAAAAATGTTTTATAAAAATGTTACTTTCCACGAATTTTCTTCTACCCATGCATAAGATGCTAATTAATTCAAGATTATTTCTTAGAACTAATTTTATTTGTAGACATTCGTAGAGCCGGTCGTAGGTCACTTTACTAGAAATTTCAGTAAGGCCAGATGTTTAGCCATAGAAATAAAGAATACATATGCGATCTGAATATGTCACGGTGAATTATTCAATAACAATAATAAAAATGGTAACCTATTTTTTTAATTATCTCCTTATTCATACTCAAAGCGGGTCGGCCGGAAAGCTCGGTGGTCCTTTATGAACCGCGACCAGTTATGACAATGCGAAACCGAACGCCCCTCAGCGCGCCGCTTTGTCTCCTAGATCGAGATAGGCGCGTAAAATTCGATACGGGAATTATTTTATTACATTGTACGTACACGTGCGCGGCGTGACGAATACGATAATGTCCCCGGCACATCGGCCCGGGGCTCGGCAGAGCCACGGAACAATTGCATTCCACATGAATTATCCATAATGGAGACACGGCTACGGAAGCTTTGTGCCCGCAGCACCGTGACTACGATCCGCTGCAGATTTGCTATACGCTAAAGGGTGACGGAGACTCGACAAACTGTAATGTAACAAACATTAATTTCAATTAAATTTATCCAGAGCTATATCAGGTCAACTTACTAGGTGTATGAGATTAGCTATTTGAATAAGTATACTCACTATAAGTATATTTCCATACGTTAAAAGATGACAACTTGTAGTACACCTAAGTAAAGTTAGTTATCTTATTACTTTGTGATTATTTTTAAGTTTATTCAGGTGAATACGGAGGTATCGGAAGTCGGTTAGCGATTAACTAGGTCGATATAAAACAATGAAAACTCTTTGTAGTGCGCTTATAAAGTCTTGGCGTAGAGCATGCAACAGAGGCGGTCGCGTCACTCGCTCGTGACGTGGTGACGTCGCGTGCGCGTTCTCCCCCTGCCCTGCCGTTCAGACAGGAATATCGGTTTTCCATGCGAAGCAACGTAATTATTAATACAAGTAACTGCATAATCTGCGACCCCAACGCCTTTGCAATTAAAAATAACCGCATTATATCCAACAGAACACAACTGTGAAGACTGAAAAGATTTATTTAAAAAACTTTACTAGTAGAAGAAAGCTAATGAAAAAAAAGACACCAAAAGCTCTTAAAACATTAAATTGATGAAAACTGTCTTAGTAAATAAAAAAGTATTTAAGTACAGTGTACAATTAAAACACCGATTTGTAGAGATATTACATCAACTGTTCTGCCGTTGCTAAAGTAGGCATAGTATAGGTATTTACAGGCTCAATAACGAGGACTACGTTTCGGATAACGAACTTTATCCGCTTACATTCGTTCGCCTTGTTATAACAAACAAAAATAGTATAGTAAACGTAATCCTGTAGAAAAAATTGTCCCATGTTTTCGCCTATTACTATACTATTAAAATAGTGTTATTCGTTTCATTTGAATGCATTGCTTTTAATGATAAATGTGATGTATCAGTTGCGTGTGTCTGTTATGTAAAATGTCAATGAAATTAAGTATTCAGTCTTGGGTAACCCAGTTATAGTAATGTCGGTTTGTAAAAAGCATCGAGTACAGGCACGGCATCCCCCGCTACAACGCAAGCGAGTAGTACCATTTAGCTGCCCGCCCTCGCCGCACGTAAGCATTCTTTTCCTTTCTATCCAAAATGCGATTTTTTTGTTCATTTGAAATTGATTAAAACATCCAGTTTTTTGCCTATATGTAATTAAATGTAATTGAAAATTATGTTTTTATTTCATGCACCATTTTTAGAAGTGAGTTAGAAATTTAATTTATTTTTACTTTTACAGTTAATTACGTTCATAATTATTGTAGTGATGGGGAACTACAATATTTGTTAATGTAAGAAGAATCAAGATGAGTTTATTCGTTGATTTAAGGCAAATCAAAACGTCAGTGACGAATCTATCAGAGATGGTTGACAAAATATCGTCTTCCGCTTTTAAAGAACAGACTAAAGACGAGTACGTAAAGAAGATTGACAGTCCATTTTACAGTGGATCCATTTATAAACCCACGACATTGGGCTTCGGTGTTAGGTTTTCACAGAGCCAGGAGGATGTATATCAAAACATGCCGTCTTCCCGACTTCGAAGTCATGTGTCGTTGCCAAACCTTGGTAAAGCGGACGAAGATATGGAAAAAGTTTCGAATGCGAGGAAAGACGATCACCCGAAAATAGTGGAAATAGACGACGAGAGCGCGAGCAACTGCAACAGCAGCAAAAATATGCTGCAAATATCCAGCGAGAATATTAACGATTGGATCCTGGCGTCGGTTAAAAAACGTCCACATTTCGACGACAGCGGCGAAACCCATCCCATGGACTTCTTGGAGAACGTCAAATATTACATAGCAGAAATAAACATCGCCGCAGAAAAACAACTGTCTTTCATAATATCTTGTCTCGACGGCGTACCATTATTATGGGCTCGTTGTTTTCGAAACGAATTTAAGAAAGTCGAAGATTTTTATGAAGCTTTCGAGCAAGAGTATTGGGGCCCCGAGAGACAGAAACTGATACTTTACGACATGAAACTCGGTAAATACAACGAGGGAAAGTCGCGAATGGCCATGTCTGAATACTTCTTGCATAAAGTTACAAATTATAAGCATTTGACTCCCCCGC